TATAGTTTGTTCACTAATGTTCCTCTTCAGGAGACATTACAACAGGAGTCAGCCCCATTGCCCTAGTGTTCATGAAACCTTTTTTCTAGAGTTTGTGCATGTAGCAACTAGGTTGAATTTAGTTTTAATGATATTCTGCATGTCCACATTGATTGTATATGGATGAGTAGACCATTGAGTCCTGGATAGTTTCCATAGAATGTATATGCACATAAGTTATGTGGATGATACTTTTTCCTTTTATAATTCTTTCGGAGAGGCGAGGGATTTAAATCTTAAGCTTAATTCCCGCCATCTGTCCCATATGTTTACTATAGAAATGGAGAATGATTCTGTGTTACCCTTTTTGGATGTGCTTGTTGAACGGGAGGAGGGGTTGTGTATTACCTGTGTATATCTTAGGCCCATACAATGTTTTCACGTCTCTGTCTATCAAGCAAGATTTTCATGTGTCTACCTCTCTAACAATACTAAAATTGATATAAGAATGCCTATCCTTTAATAACTTATCATAATATATTGTTTAACAACCAAATGATTGATACTCTACAGAATACTTATTATTTGTTCATGAATCTCTGTTCTTATCAAGAACTGAAGTTTTTCAATTTGGTCGATGTAATCAAAAGAATAACAAATCAAACAGGAAACACTTGAAATTTGGAAAGTTTATCCACAATTCTTAATTAAATGTTCAACATCTTATAATATCTTGTTGCCGGAATTGGAATAAGTGTAACAATGTTATTAACTGTGTGTCTAGAATCAAAAATCAGAATTCAAATCCCAGACACCTCAAATCAAGAGATTCAGTATGCTAGTTAATTGAATATTGAATAATATGCGTATGTCGTACCTTTGTTCAAACACGTAATATACAAAACAGTCAAAATATTAACCTGTAAACGGGAGCCACGTTCTTAAATAGCATCGTCAGATTTATACTCTTACGAGAATCTCATGCATGGCATCAAACTCATTCTTTCAAGATTCTCTAATTCATAATCTCAAACCAAACGTTTCACATTACCGATTAAAATGTGTTTTTGTTGTTTTGTAGCCATTTATGCTACAAAACAACAAAAAGACATTTTAATCTTAAAGAATTCACTTTCTGTTATGGGACCTTACCCTTAATAACATAATGAACTATTCCATACGTAATAAATACTGCGCCTCAAGAGGAAGCAGGGAGTTCAGTCCGAAGTTGGACGTTCGGCTGATCGGTTGAACTCTCTGCCTTCGGGTGGGGAGGAACCCGAACGAGGCTACGCTGAAGGGCAGAGTCTCTTTCGGAGAGGTAAACCGACCATGAACCCGTTTATACGGGTTCAAAGGCCATATTTTTGGCCGAGCCCACGGGCTCGGAGATCTCAAGTTAAACCGGCCTCGTGGATGGGTGACTAAATACTGTTCAGTCTGAAGTCTGTTGTGAAGTCCGTCAGGAGTCTGTCAGTCAGTCAGAGCGAGCGAGTCAGTCAGTCGAGTCTGAGGCAGTCCGAAACAGAATCGCGTTCAGACAATTACTACAAGACATTGGAATAGTGATACTGGTCGAGACTATATAGTTCGTACTAATACTTTCTACTTCTCTGTATATATTCCTGATTGTAATATATCTGTGTTATTCCATATCCGTGTTCGAGTTCTTCTTTATTGGTTCTACATTGGACTATCACCGTGGTACAAGGAACCGGACCATAACACTTTCTTTATGAGAACTTACAGGCTGGTGCTAAAGAAAACACAAAGAGCTTTACCAACATCCCTCGAAGACATTCCAAGATGACAACAAAAACACGGAAGGCATTTAATTAGAACGGAATTTGATTTTTCATATTGCCTTACGCAAAAGGTGTAGAAAGAAATTCGTATGAATAGGAGAAATAATCATAGCATTTGAAAATGCTAATTTTTGGAAAAGAATTAAGTAATATTTTCTGAATTTCAACATACATAGTAATGCTAATCAATCAATCAATCAAGGCTGATGCGATCGGTTAATTTCGTCGTTTCTGTTAAAAAATACGATATGTAAAAGAAATCATAGTAAGAAATAATGTTAATATAATGACTAATTTCAACATTGATAATATCTAAAGATATTAAACATATAGATTTTAATCAATGTAAATAATGTTATATCAAATAGTCTGTTTGAAAGACGTTTATTTAATCCATTCGACCAGTCTTTTGGAGAAAACTTATATTTTAATCACCATTATTTAATGAGTACAAAAACTCAACTGTAGATCCTAAAAGGTGAGTTAAGCAAAAGGTATGTTCATCTGGATTTGGCCAAAAGGCGCATTAAAGCGGGGATTGATCGATATGTTTTTTTACGGTTTATCAACCATTTGCAGGTTACTTAAAACCAGAAAATATTTATAGAATCTGATAATTTTTGGAGGTAAGGATTTACTGATGCAAATCATTAATTAACCCATAGGTGGAGGAGAGAAAAAATAAGTCATAACGTTATTTAAGCCTATTTTTGCGTAAGAGAAAATAACGAACCCAGCTGGAATTGGAACTCGGCTCTATTATTTCGAACAGTTATCATTAAACCATTCACAGATCCCGGATTACAGCACCTGTTACTCCGAAGCGGTCACCTCTCTAAATACTGACCAAGCTCGAAATGGCTTAACTTCGCTGATAGTACGAGAAGCAGTGTTTCAAACTGACATAGCCGTATGCCAACTTTGCTCAAGACATTGGGAGAGAAAGTGGAATTTTCATAATCAGAATGCTATCAGAGCGAACTATAGAAGTACAGAAAAATCGATATTTATGTTTCTTAAATTACACAAAGGCATTTGATAAAGTGCAACACAAAGAACTCATTGAAATGAAAGGAAAACGTGGTTTACACAGAGAAGATATTTAAATAATCCGCAACGTCCACTGGGGAAAAATGTATGCATGCGGATAGAAAACGAGTTAATACATACACAAATATAGAAAGAAATACAGCAAGGATATATTTTCTCATCGGATTTGTTTAAATTGTACAGCGGGATAATTCTAAGGGGACTAGAAGACATACAATTTATTAACATTGGCGGCCGTAGCCAAGAGAAAATACGCTACGCCGACGATATTGTTGTTTGAGAAATAAAATAGTTCAGAACGACCTATTATAGGAAGTAGATTAGTAAAGGAAGATGCAATGCGTAACCATTAATTGTACGATATATAAAATGAACGGTTGCTGACGGAAGGGACAATATTCGGTGCAATTTGAATATCATCTTCGTTTAGGTTTTGTGGTACTTCAGGAAGTCTGTGAACATGGCTCTATTACTTGTCATCTTATATAGCTTTTAGCAATAGTTGTCTTTCATTTCCATTGTCTGTTCTGACATCCATTTATATAGGCTACTCGATATTTCCCTTATTGCTTTCATATGTCCCGTGACTGCCAGTTCTTTAACCCTACGTTCCTCATTATTTCATAATATACTTTTAATATATATATATAAACATTTACTTACGTGCTAATACTACTACTAATAATAACAATAATTTGAAAAATAGTTAACAGTTGAGTCAATTTTTCAGAATCAACAAACTTTTAGACAAGTTTTACATTCAATGAGTTCAGAAAAGGAAACATTCTTTTCCATACAAAAAAAACAATAAAAACTAAAACAAAAAAAACTTCGATACTAGAAATATCAGTAATTTCCGATTCATTGTATTCGTTTTGTAGCTTCCTCATTACTCAAAGCTTAATGTAAGAGATATAAAAAAATCAAGCAGTTTCGGGACAAATATATATTCATAAGAAGAGTGAAAAATATATTTCCCCAAGAGATGGAGAGTTAGGAATAAGTCGTTAGTAACAAAAGATCTGGACCGCTATGCAGTATCTAATATTTTATGTAGCAATGACTATCTATTGCATTTTCATCATTCGCCACTAGAAAGTGACGAATGAGGAAAGAAGCATTGAAGGGATATTTGAGAAACATGGAAGCTTTAAAGAAAATATGAAATGGAAGGAAAGAAATCGTTTGGTGATTTCAGCACTCGAGGAATCACGGAAGACAAAACAAAAAGTTAGTGTGAAAGGAGAAAAAAAACAAAAAACAAGGACATTATATACAAAGATGAATAATAACGTCAAAAATGTAATACTAACAGAATCAAATGAGGAAAAGCTGTAAGAACGAGGCGAAAGGGGAAGAATATATATATATATATATATATATATATATATATATATATATATATATATATAGCACCAACAATATAACCAATCTTGTCTTCGACCGGGTGTGGCATTACTAAGAATTTTTGTCGTTCAGTTGAAGTTTAGAGGCAGCCCACACGAAAATCAATATTATAAAAAAAATTGGATGCAACTGAGGCACATCCCCAAATAGGGGATTAAAAATTTGATTGGGGGGTGCTGAAAAGAGTCGTTTTTGCGTTCTCAATCTTGCAAGGAAGGAATCTCTTCCATGGACCGTCATAATAATATGCGATATTTTTTTATTTATAATGTATTTTATATATATATATATATATATATATATATATATATATATATATAATTCTGATAATCTTTGCGTTATATTTCAACTCTCTAAATTGAATGTACGCATACACATTTTTGACAGAGATTAAAATTTGGCTTTGATTTTTGCGCAAAGTGTAAAAAATAAGTTTTTTTTTTCGACTTCTCACCTTCAAGATTGTAATATGTTTCTGCTAATTTGGACTCAAAACTGTCAGTGAAGAATTATCTATCAAACGAAAAAAAGTTATCGAAATCGGTTGAAAACTGTGGCTTCATAAACACCCTTTTGAGATTATATATATATATATATATATATATATATATATATATTTTAAAAATAATAACAAAAATACTAAAAGAACTTTGGATTATTTACCAAACGAGTTCATTCCTATTTTCTATATATTTTACACACACATTTTATATATATATATATATATATATAAATAATTCATTTAACGTTTATATCCAATTAAAAGTTTAAGCCTAAATAATTTCACTACACTCTCATAAATTTTGATATTATTTGTTGTATTCGTATGCAAATCTCCACCGTATAAATAGCAGCTGATATAGCTGGTGGCTAAACTAGTCCTGATATTGAAGACTAAACTACTAGAAAAACATTACTGAATAGAATGTGATGGTATTTATCAATCCACCCACGGGGATCGAATGTGGCACAAGGCCTTTTTAATGTGGGTATCTCTGAGCCCGTAGGCCCAGCCAAAAATAAATAACCATCTAAACCCGCCGAGGCGGGCCAGTTCCGTCAACCTCCCCCAACGAAACCCTACCCTTAGGCGGAGCTTCGTCCGGGTCCCTCTCTGCAAGGAGAGATTTTGACAGACACCCGACCCGACAGCTCACAAAGCGCAGATACTACACTTTGATCCTAGCCACCAGGCCGAGCGGGTATTCTTTTTATAGAAAAAACGACTCTTTTCATCACCCCCCCCCAATCAAATTTTTAATCCCCTATTTGGGAATGTGCCTCAGTTGCATCCAATTTTTGTTATAATATTGATTTTCGGGTGGGCTGCCTCTAAACTTCAACTGAACGACAAAAATTTTTAGTTTATTGCCTGTCGCCTGAGGCGTCTCCAAAAGCGGTAGTGTGAAGGTAGCTTCGGAATTTTTGGATGGTACGTTCTATATACCCACTTTAAACCGCGACCCTGTGGCACATCTGGTAGCACCTTGCGCGAACAAGTAGATACCACTAATCCTGAAACTGAAATATTTTTCTGAATAGAATGTGATAAGTTATAATTAGCTAGAAGTATTCACTACAATTTCTCTAATAGTTTAGTCTTCAGTTTCAGGATTAGTGGTATCTACTTGTTCGCGCAAGGTGCTACCGGATATGCCACAGGGTCGCGGTTTAAAGTGAGTATATAGAACGTACCATCCAAAAATTCCGAAGCTACCTTTCACACTACCGCTTTTGGAGACGCCTCAGGCGACAGGCAATAAACTTAGGCCCCTCCCGAGGGAGAGATACAGCCTGGAAGGAAATCCCCCCTGATACTTGAGCATACAAATCTCAACCAAGGTCAAGACTAGTGATATTTATTCTGTTTCATGTACAGAAATATGCTACAAGACCGAAAAGGGGATTGGGGGAAAGGACGGTCTTGTTTTGTCTTAACTATAACTTAGCCGCAAACACTGACCCAATCGTACGAACAATATTCCTTAGACCAAAACAACACATTCATACGTACCTTTCTTACTACAACCGCCATATACCTCTTTGTCTCTATGAAAATACTAACTAGTCCCCATATTTACAATTCATCGTCTGTGGGGAGTTGGGGGGTGGATAAAACAACAATTTTAAAAACTAGTCCCAATGAGGATTTACAATATGAAACAAAACTATTTCCAAGAAACAAAAGAAAATAGTATTAGTAATACCCCCCCCCCCAATTTCTAAATGTGGCAGAAATATCAGTTTACTGGCCAAAATCAATGCGGGGCTATAATGATATAACAACAATCATTCATCCCAAGCACTCACACTGACATGCGCTTATTCAGACACAACAACAAATACGTAAACACTCACGCGAAACGAAAAGCGCCCCCGCATCCACCAGCAAACTTGCATCACTGACCACGTAACGAGGGAGGGGACGGTGATTTAAAACTAAAAGAAAAAGAGGAACAGAAATAAAAGGGGCCCATGAGCATACATATCCTAGCAAGGTCAAAGCTAGTTTAGCTACAAACTTTATCGAGTGCAATTTAAATGGTGGGGATTTGCATATGAATACAACACTTTTTTTTTTTTATTAAGATTAGAGCACACTTTTACCTACACCGGAAATTCTAAGAAAAAACAAAACATTAACCTGAAAACTCGAGTGATGTTTCAAAATCTCATTAAATCAATACTTTCATACGTATATAGCTGATGCATTCGTTTATTACGGTTTATTTGCAGGTTATTTAATACCAGAAAATATTTCTAGATAAGTTTTTTTTTTTAAAAAAACATGTTTAGAGATAATAATACCTTTAGTGATAGAAGTCGTACTAATTAACACATAACTGGGTGACAGGTGGATTTATACTTTTTCCAATTGCTTTTGAGAGTAAGTGAATATAACGAACCCAAATGAAGCTGGAACTCGGCTCTTTGTTTAACAATTCGGAGCCATTCGGCACCTAATCTTCACAAGTGTTAACCCATCTAGGTAATAACCAGGTTTGACATTGCTTAACGTCGGTGATTGTAACTGAACCGGTTTTTCAATGTTATATAGCCGTAATACCCATGTGTATAACAGCCATCACGCCAAACACGTTCAGAAATATCTAAACTATCAGCTGTATACAGCCGCTTTCTAAAATCGATGGTTTGTTAAAAATATCTTTGAATGAGTGGTATTTGTGGATATTGGCGAAGACAATTCTTTTACGAACATTGTGAACTGGCATAAAAAAATCCCAAACAGAAACCACATCCTTTCAGGATTTTAACAGCCAAAATTAAAACGGATATCGCATGTAACTCGGAGAGAAAAGGATATAACATGTTGACATTACACTCTACGTCAAGCTTAGGAAGGAAACCTCGATCAATAATGGAAAGAGCCATAATAATTACTGGACATACGAAACTTATTTTCATGAAAAATATTTTTAAAATTTCAACTTAACTG